CTAAAAAAGTTCGTACTCTTCACAGTAATATTGTTTGGTGGGTTGTTGACATTTGACAAGATCTGTTAGCCCTTTTTCCTTCTGTGCAGCTCCAAGATGAAGTTCTTGTTTCAGATACTGAAAGATTGAGCATGACCCACTCCAATGTTAAGAAGGTATAATCATATCGTGGCATTTTCATTTATTTGTCCAGGAATCAATATCTTGCATAAAAAAAGACTCAATTGTAGCTGCAAAGACATTTCCAAGCTGACACATATCCCTGGATCCAACGGTTGAAGCATCAAGAGCTTGTTATTGAGAGGCGCCTCCTAAGGGTGATATTTCTTCTCCTTTTTTCATAACTTAAAATGTGCATAGGAAATGCAAATTCATTATTCATGTCTTGTATCTGACCGTTATATATTTTTTGAACTCCTGATAAAGATCATGAGAATAGTGGAGGCATTGGAAAACCGGGGTTTCCGTGTTCCGTTAATGAAAGAGGAAGCTGATTTATATGAAAGATTGGTTGCTATAATAAAGCAGGTTAGTTTTCTTTTTCCTGTCTATTAGTTCTGCATTTGGTTGATTATGGATTTTGATTATTTGAATCTTCTGTAAACAGATAAAAGGAACCAGCGGTGATCTGTCGAAGAGAGCTTATAATCTTCTTTCAACTTCACGTGTTCTTGCAAGCACCGGCTGCGCTAGTGGTCCCATCTATATTCCGAGTTCAACCAAAGTCGATAAGCAGAATGTTACCGAGCTTCTTGAGGTAAGGGCGGGTTTTAATCTTTGTCTGTCCATTTTTATGGCCTTGTGTTCTGTCAAGTTGAGAATTTTTAACTGCACAAAATAGGCATTGCAACAGCAGACCGAAGCAGTTGGGAAGTTAGGCAATGTATTAAAAAGGGATACCAGGGACGTGGAAATTGTACTTTCGGAAGACACGGATATGGAAGAAGACAGTTCCGGGAGAAGGGCATTCAAGATGCAAAACTGAAGCATGGTCTCCATTTTAGGTTCCTGTAAGCAGAGGAAGATCCGTCTTATCATCAAGGGCCGGAGCCTCCAGTTGATGGGATTGTGTTGTCTGGAGTCTAGATGAACTTTGATCTTAACTGTTGCTATCGTCAAGCCAAAATGTGAAATCGATTTGAGCATCTGTCTTGAAATAACCATGCTCCTCGGATAGTTCAGAGAATTCCTCTTTTGGCGCTTTCTTGAATTTGCTTTCCTATTCTGCCCAATATAAGAATTTCTTCCCTATTTGACACTAAGTGCAAATTTTCTTCCTATGTGACACTTTCGTCCATTTTAACTAGTGAAGGTGTCAGGTGACAGGAAAAGACCATTTTCCCCATATATTGTAATACAACGCTAAAAGAATAGACCGCTGGTTTGACTGAACCGGTTTACCGTCTCTTCGAGCCTTGATTGGGTTTGACTCTTCTTGAAGGTCCACTACGTGGGGCTGCTGGCCTGCTGCTCTTGTTGTGCCGGCACAGAGGCGGCTGAGACTGCCCATAGTGGCAGTAAGAGCATCTCCAGCCGTTCGGCTCCCCAGGGCGCCGAAAAAGGGCGGTCTGGGGGTGAGCCGACGATAAACTCGGCGTTGGGGGCGGTTCGGCACCCAGCCGTCGCCCCCAGGGCGCCTGGCCTGGGGGTGAGCCGATGATAAACTTGGCGCTGGGGCGGTTCGGCACCCAGTCGTTGCCTCCAGGCGTCGATTTCAGCCCAGTGTTCGGTTCAATTATGTCCAAAAACGGCCCGATATCTGCGTGAATTGACCCATATTCGGCGCGGTTCGGCGTGTTTAGGCGTGAATTTTCGCATACAAATAGAAATCAATTAGTTCGTCACTATAGTTCGACGTGTTTCATCACAAAAATCAAATAGTTCAACAAATAGTTCAATACAAATTATATAGTTTAACAAATAAAAACTCAAGTTTCATCACACATCATTCTCGGCATCGCCCTTGAGCCTTCATAGGTGCTCCATCAGATCGTGTTGCAGTTCTTCATGCACCTGTGGGTCTCGGATCACCTGACGCATATTGAGGTAGTTAGTCCAGTTTGCTGGTAGCTGGTGATCAATTTGGGCAAGAGGACCCTGCTTGTAATATGGTTCAGTGTCAAACACTGGCTCTTCCTGCTCGCTCTCAATGATCATGTTGTGCAAGATGACACAACAAGTCATGATCTCCCACATTTGATCTTTCGACCAGGTCAGAGCAGGGAACCGGACAACAGCAAATCGAGATTGGAGCACACCAAATGCCCGCTTGACATCCTTCCTGCAAGCCTCCTGAACCTTTGCAAACCAGGCGTTATTGCCTCCTGGCACAGGGTTTGAGATGTACTTCACAAATGTCGACCATCTCGGATAGATGCCATCAGCTAGATAGTACCCCTTGTTGTACTGCCGCCCATTGACCCTGAAGTTCACTGGAGGAGAATGACCTTCAACAAGCTTGGCAAAGACTGGGGAGCACTGCAGGACGTTGATATCATTGTGAGTTCCTGGCATCCCAAAGAAAGAGTGCCAAATCCAGAGGTCCTGTGTGGCCACTGCCTCAAGTACCACACTGCAACCGCTTTTGGCGCCTTTGTACAACCCCTGCCAAGCAAATGGATAGTTCTTCCATTTCCAATGCATGCAGTCGATGGTTTCAAGCATCCCAGGAAATCCTCTTGCTTCATTCTGTGCTAGGATCCGAGCAGTGTCTTCCGCATTAGGTGTTCGCAAGTATTGCGGTCCAAACACTGCCATCACTACCCTGCAGAACTTGTAGAAACACTCAATGGTGGTGGACTCGGCCATGCGCCCATAGTCGTCGAGTGAATCACCGGGAGCTCCGTATGCAAGCATCCTCATAGCTGTCGTGCACTTCTGGATCGAGGTAAATCCAAGTGTGCCGGGGCAATCCATCTTGCACTTGAAGTAGCTGTCGAACTCCCGGATGGAATTCACAATCCTGGGGAAAAGCTTTCGGCTCATCCGATAACGGCGCCGAAATGTTTTCTTACCGTGCAATTGAGCGTCGGCGAAGTAGTCTGAGTAGAGCATGCAGTAGCCTTCCAGACGATGCCGGTTCTTTGCTTTCACCTGCCCAAGCACCGAGCCACCTCGCCGCGGCTTTTCACTGCTCGCGAGCAGGCCGGCGAGGGCGGCGAGCACCATGAGATGCTCCTGCTCCTGGACGTCGGCTTCGACTTCCTCCTCCAGCAACGCCGTGAGCTCCTCCTCATCTTCGGAGTCCATCGCCGGCCCGGGCAATTCACCGAACACCTTGCGGGCGAGGTGGGCGCAAGCCCGCCGGTGTACAGGCCCTGCGCGTCCGAAACACCGAAAAAGGTGCCCGGACGACGGCGAAGAGGCTGCCTCGGCGAAACCCCTTCTTTTTCCTGGCGGGAGATGGTCTAC